CCTCCCTGCCCATTTCTAACTCTACCTCCAAGCAAGCCCCTCAACTCAATAATGTGTGTAAAAACTGCCTTACAAAAACCCACGTCAGTATGGGGCTTCCCTATTTGTAAAGTTGATGCTTAGGCGAAGTTGAGAACAAATAGTTTCGATTGGATTTACACAGAAATTCCACACAATTCTAATATGTTGCCTCCGGCAACCTGCAGTTGCGCAGAATACTTACATCCCTGTTTTTTGTCTCCAAAATCTCACAGAGGCAAAGGTCAACCCCACTCCCATGCATTCAATCTACCCCTCTTTTAACTCTGTTCATATCTTACAATGGTAGTTATTGGCCCTCAGCTTCAATGAAACATCAGCTTCGTCAATAGGGAAGTCCCTTACTGAAGAGATGGGTTTTTATAAGGCAATTTTCACTGACAAAAGCTCGGTTTTTTGGGCTTTGCTTTTTTTTCGTCTTTTTTTCTTAGGCTCAAGTTTACCTTAATTTACTTTTCTTTGTGATGCTGTGTTGTTTCATACCATTTACTGCTGCCTCTAGTTCCTGCCTTGAGCTCCTGACTTGGATGTCCGTTCCATTCTCTATTCTGTCCGCAGATCTTGCCCGCCAACATCTGGGCTCCTTCCCTTTCCCTGCCTTGAACGAAACTCGCAACACACTGCTCTCCCGTCTCATCTGCCACATTCGAAATCCCGCCACTCACCTTAGACATCACCAAGAAAAAATTTTTGCGATTTGTGCATAACGGTGGCCGAGCCGAGTTTTAGTAGTTGTCCTAGACAAAGGACCTAGTAGGCAGGACAGAAGAAGTAAGCAGATGGGCTCAGCTAGTGATGCTCTCAAACAAACAATAACTGGGAGATCGATGGGCAGCAGGGAGAGGAATGCTTGTACGGAAAGCAAGGATGGAGATAGCCTAGGCGGGGAAAGCCCGACAGAATGGATGAGATGGGGGGTCGTTCGTCAGTCGACAAGTGAAGCCGGTAGCATGTATTGGCTAGCGCTTAACGTAACGGCGTTGGGGGGAAGGATTGCATACCTGTGAGAACTGCGATTCGCATAATAAGCGGCCTCTTTTTTTCCAGAACAGTGCAGCTATGCAGCGGTGATCTGCAAAAATTCAACCTGACAGTTCCCGCGTTCAGTGAGAAAAAGCTCGCTTGGGTGGCACTGCCAGCTGAGTGCATACACACGGGCACTACCCACGCACTTCTATGACGTAACACTTGTTTCCCAAACAATGAGAAATACGAATGCAATAAAATGAGGTTGTGCCCGCAACAATATATCACGAGCATGCCGTTAAATCTCGAGATGCCGGTGTGATCTAAGCTGAGGCAATGGGGGAAGATGTGTGGCAACGAGAGAGGAGAATAAGCCGGGACGCTAAGTGAGCAGGGGGCGAAGGTTGTGCGACCAGTTTGCGTGAGCGACAAGAGCATTTCAGCTTTAACGCTGAAATCGGGGAAGTCGACTCCTGTCCAGAACGCTGCTCTTTGGACTGCTGAACGATCGCAGATCCATCATTCAAGTGCTAAATTTAGTCTTTCTGGCTCCTACACAGTTTAGCGAAAGACAGAACTAGACGTATAGAGCATTTTCCTCCGAAACCCAGGCTGGAACGCACCAGACGGGCCGGTGCGATTATGCGTTTTTGCACTTTTCGTGTCGTAGCAAGATCGCAAGGAATCACAGTAGCTAACACTGTGACATACTGGCCCTCGAAATTCGGGAAGTTAATTGCGCGACTATGTGGTATATCAGTTGTAGGATGCCGACTTCAGTAACCCGACAAATGGAAAGTTGCTGGTCTGCAAAAAAGGCCACACTAGAAGAGTTAAATTTAAAATCTTTGAGTTGCACATGAGTAGGGAGCATTCCTTTAAAATTAAAACCTTCAGCTTTTACCGTTCCCGAGTTAACAGTTTTCTCATCAAAATTTTCACGTGTCTGTACGTGAGTACCGAACGGTTTTAAGGAGCTGAATTTAAAATTTTTTGGTCATACATAACTAGGGAACATTACCCTAAAGTTTCAGCTTTTTAGCTTTTTTTGTTCCCGGGTTAGTGATTTTCGCACCAAAATTTCCACGTTCCTGTACGTGGGCTCTGGGTGCTTTTAAACACTTGATTTTGGTAGTACATGAGTTGGGGACATAGCCATAAAGTTTTAGCTTTCTAGCTTTTCCCGTTACCGGGCTAGTAATTTTCGCGCCAAAATTTCCACGCGCTCGTATGTGAGCTCGGGCGCTTTTAAACCACCTGATTTTGCTCGTCTATTAGTAAGGAACATTCTCTTAAAGATTCAGCTTCTAGTTTTTCTCGTTCCCGAGTTAGCAATGCTTGCGCCAAAACTTTCACGTGCTCGTACGCGGGACCCAGAAGTGCGTGAGAGCTGATACCGCGGTCCTGGGGTGGCACTTGGTTGGGGAGCACACTAGCAAAATCTCAGCTTCGAAGCTTGCGTGGTTGGCGAGTTGAAACACCCGGACAGACGAACACACACACACACGCACACACACACTGACAGGGTCGTTGCAATATGCGTTTTTGCTGCCTGTTGCAGCGTTCTAAAACTAGATCTTCACTGCTCACATCCTGTTAAACTCCAGTGTGAAGCAGCGGACTGAGGATTGTAAAGAGTTTATTCTCGCCTACTATTCAGTCGGGGTAGAACGGATTGATTCTGACGCCTGGATTCTGAATTTATATACAAGCCAGTTTAAAGTGTTTCCACAGGACTGTGATGTGGTCGACGGCTATTAAGTAAAAGAGGCATGAGAGGCCTCTCAGTAGACATGCTTTCATAACCTTGGCTCTTGCCAACAGAATAATTTAGATGAACGTTGGAAAGTTTCTGGTGTAACAAATCTATGGAATCAAGCGCCTTTTAAAGATAATCGCCTTCTTCCGATAAATAAAGATTAGAGGAGTCACACAGCAGATAGATATCTTAAGAAAGCAAGAAGAAAATTATTCCAAAATAATTGAAAGAAAACCAGCTGCTTCTTTATCTGACAAGGCCACAAACGAAATATGCGTATGAATCGCTCACGGATCACTTATTTTTTGTTTTTTATGCGTTTTGTGCTGTGTAACAACAGTACAAAACGCATATTGCCAC